TTTTTTTTTTTTCTTTTTCACGTCGCCCAGCCACAGTGATTTTCGCGGACCGGAAATACACGGCCGGATATGGGCGTGACGCGTGCCCTCGCCTTAAATGTTACACCGAATCGTATACCTTTTCATTTGCACCAATTGCACACTCACCATGACGACCACGTTGTTCCTCGTGCCCTGACTCAAAGTTTAAAGCGTTTTGATGACAATCATTGATAGATGAAATCTGAAACAAAAAGAAATAAATGATGTTAGAGGAATAGATTTTAAAACGAGAAGAACTTATAGTAAAGAGAAAAGTGACTTTTTCATTAATTTATATATATTTTTTTTTAAACAAAATTCCATTATGGAAGGATATCGAATCATCACGAATTATCACGAACAACTACAAAACCATCACGATTAAAACTTTGTAAAAGTCTTTGTAAAAGAATGTTAAATTAAATTTTCTTAAACTTGTCGAATATTATCTTTTCCCCTGCCTCGAAGACAAACCAGTATACGATGAATTAATAATTCCTATGTTTATTAGACTTTCTATCTACGATTTTTATTTCCTAACCCGAACCAGTAAATTATTTACAATCGAATGGAGAAGAAAGAAAGCCAAGCATCGGAACAAAGCGTGGCGAATAAAAGAGGGTGATAAGTTTCAAGATTTTTGAGTTTAAAATCAATTCTCGTGTGCAATTATACATTAGATACATTTCACTCGATGCTATTCACAGCATTCTCCAATACTTGTGAAAATAGGAATAGTCACGTTTCTCGATAGAGGCCGATAAATTACGGTCAAAGTGAGTTTGCCCCTTGCGGTTTACAACCAACCCCTACGTTGTACAAACTTGCGGCGCGATTAGCCGCGAAACAATGGAGTGGTGAAACTGGTATCTGGCCGAATTACCCGCTGTGAAAGGGGGAGGCCACCCTTCGGTCTTTCACACCGAATTTCCGCAATTTTCACGCTTTTCCTTCCTCCTCCTCCCGCCTCCCCCTCTCGTCTTATGCAAATAGGAGTGTCACGACGAGCGAATGAAGTTTAACCGGACGGAGCCCGGCCTCCGTCCATCAGATTCGTCACGGATCGTTACTCAACGTTTAGTGAAAACGAGTTGTCTTTCCAACCTGTTAACGCTCAGACCCAAATGAAATTCATTACGCGGCACGGGTTTGCAATTAATTTTTATTCTAAAATTTATTTATTTGCATTTGCACCATTGCAAAATTGCGGAATCAACCGATCGAAGGAATTTCGAAATCGTATTTCCACACGATTTGTTTACTTGTACGTTAAAACGGCTATGTTCAATTAAATTCTTCCAGATATGAAATTCGCGTAACTAGGAAATAAAATGTTTTTTTTGCATTTTTCACGACTCGATCGATTTACGCGCATAGCTTCGTTAATTAAACGAGATAAAAACTCGTATAGAATAAATCGACAACGATTTCTACGTTACGCGAGAAGCGTAAAACGTTTGAATGTTAAATTGAATTTCTCTATGAGACGATTTCACGATTATTCACCCGAAATAACCCGGAAAGGAAAGGAAAATAGAAAACGAGAAACCTTTCTCCCTGTCCTTTCCTCCATCCAAGATTTTAATTGGGGGAGGGAAAAAATTTCCAAAGCTCGATTTCGCAGGCAAATCTCAAAATGGTGGATCGAGGAGCGGAGGAAAAATTTTCGAACTCTTGCCGCGCACATCCCACGATATGGAACGCCGCCTCGAATCGGTTTTCTCGGGACATTCCGCGAGTGTCACGAGGATGGTTGACAAAAAAACGGGAAATTACGAGGTTATCCGATGAACCCACACACAACGCAGGGCACCTCTCGCACCCACACACCCAGGTCCACGTGGCCCCGTTGACGAGCACCCACACCGAGGCACGGCGCGAGCTCGCATGCTGGTTTCCACACGCATAATCACCTGTCTCGTCCATCATAAAGCAGCAGTACCCGGCCAGATGTAATGCGCCGCGAGGCCCACGCAAAACCCGTCCGACATCGCAACGTTTCAACACACGCCCACGATCGGTCGGCTCGCTTTCAAAATGTCGTAAGTCAAATTGCCCTGGCCCGAGCACCGTTTCATCATCCGGATCCGGGCCACGGCTCGTGTGCGAATTCGTGCGCCCACCAAGGGGGACGGATGCGCTCGCAATCGATCCGCGATTTCGAATGAAAAATGGTACCTCGAAGGCGAGAGGTTGGTGTTGATTTCGACCTCGTTCCTTTCGCGTTAAAGTGTGGCTCGACCAAGGGATG